TCTTTAATCGAATCGTTCTGACTCGGCTATCTGTACCACAATCGACCTGTCTAACTATAGATTTCGCTCACAGATTTCTCGGCAAGCCATTTGTTATGTTTGTCACTAGGTACGCTTGAAGCTATCACAAGTTCACCTTAGTCGATAAACGCGAACGAGAAAATTACCAGCGTCCAGGTAGGCTACCTCGAATCCCAAGCTGTAAAACAGAAGTCTTGGTAAGCGTATAAAGTATATTCTACAACACCCACCAATCACAACACAATCAGGCACACAACTCTCGTTTATTTCTACATCATAGAAACATCATTGGGACGAAAATAGCACACTAAAATACACAGCAGCCAATCACAGCCATGGATTTTCCTTGTGGGAAATGAAATCTCAATGTCAACTGACCACCCCGTGCTCGCAAACTTGAAATCCAAAATAAGGCATTTATGAAGCGAGTTCTAGGGATCTAACATCCCCAACACTCCTCCCCTTTTTAATAGCGTGTGCTTCTGGGGTCGACTTGCATCTTGACTGTCGTTCGCCGCTGTGAGAGGATACCCTCTGGAACGAAGAACGGCTTGCTGCTGAGTTTCTTCTCGTGGCGGGGCTGCCGGCAGGTTGAAGGTATCAAGCAAGATGTCAAGGGGAAGGTTTTCTGTTCTTGATAGGCGATCTGGGGCTAGCCGTTCTCGTATCTGATTTCGATGACGTGACCATTTATCACCTCCTACCTCTACTCCGTACATAACTCGCCCAACTCTTCTGGCCACTCGCGCTTCTGCCCAAGGACTATGGTTCGTTCTGTAGTCGTGGGAAAACACAGGGCATCTCACTTCGTAAACGGATTGTCTTTGTTGCTTTGTCTCTACTGATATTGGTGCATTAGTCGGATGCATCAGGCTGTGGATCGTTTTCAGTCTCCTTCCCATCAGCATTTCTGCTGGGGACTTTTGCTCCGGTAACAACTCATTTGGTGTTGTTCAATAGAGGTACAGGAAATTTTGTAACGCGTCAGCTGATGTTCTCTCCCCTTTTTACTTAGCCAATGCTCTTTTAAACGTATCCACAAACCTTTCCGCTTGTCCATTCGATTGCGGGTGATATGGTGGCGAGCGTAAGTGTTGGATGGCTAGCCGTGGAATTGGGAAAAGGTAAATTGAGAGCCATTGCCAGATACGACCACATCTGGTATGCCATTTCGCGAGAAAATCTCAGTTAGGAGCTGTATTCATCTTTGCCGCCTGCTGACACCGCACGCATTTTTCAACCAACGCTGTGACATGTTGATCCATGTGAGGCCAGTATGCTTAACTCCTGACTACGGACTTCATTCGTGTAACCCTAGGATGACCAAGATGCAACCGTCTCAGCACTTTTGCTCGAAGGGATTCTGGCACCACTACTCTTTCACCAAACATCAAACAATCCTTCACGATGCATAGTGACTCCCGCCGCTGATACAGTTGTTTCATGTCACCATCAAACTTCTTCGACGGCATGTTTCATCGTCCTTTTGATGATGGGGTCGTTTCTAGAAGCATTTTGTATGTCCGTTGCAGACACCGGCAATGCCCGTATTGCGGTTGTCAGATAACATTCCGCCTGGTCTTCCACTGACAGAGATGCGATCACCATGTTTTCCTCAGCCGCTACTTGATCATTAATGAGTCGTGACAAAGCGTCTGCTTTACCGAATTGTAGAGTACGTCGATATTGGATTTCGAAACCATTCCCCAAAAGCACCAAGGCCCATCGCTGAAGACGATTCGCAGAATGGGCTGGAATGCCAGATTTAGAACCGAATACTGCTAACAGAGGCTTGTGATCTGTGAGGAGCGTGAATCTCCGACCGTACAGAAACTTGTGGAAACTGCGAACAGCAAACACAAGAGCAGGAGCCTCTTTCTCTATCTGGCTATACTTCTTTTCTGCTGGGGTCAGTGTACGGGATGCATGCATAACGGCTTTTTCTGACGCGTCTGGGAACTGATGTGAAATAACAGCACCTAGGCCATATACTAAAGCGTCTGCTGCTACGATGATCGGCATGGATGAATTGTAGTGTGGTAATAACAATTCCAAGCTAATTATAGACTTGAGCTTACCAAAAGCCGCGTCACATTCTTCAGTCCAGTTCTATGTGCTATGCTTCTGCAGTATACAATCCAATGGAGCGCGAATATCATGCATCGAGGGAACAAATGCTGAATAATAACTGATTAATCCGAGAAAAGATCGTAATTCCGAGACATTAGTGGGAGTGGGCATCAGTTTGATAGCTCGGATGTTTTCAGGATCCGGTCTGCGACCGTCGACATCGAAGATGAATCCCAAATGCTTTACCGACTGCAATAAAAACTGGCATTTCTCTGGGCATCACCGGAAGCCGTTGTCACTGATGCGTTGTAGTACCGATGTCGTGTGTTCCCGTAGCTGTTCTAACGTCTTCGCAACAATTAATATATCATCGAGATAAGCTGCAACCCCTGAGATATCTGATAGGATAGTATCCATTAGTTGTTGGGAGATAGATGGGGCAGACTTAGCTCCAAAAGGCGACGGTTGTACTGAAACATATCACGATGAGTGTTGATGGTAAGCAGCTCTTTTGATGCTTCATCGACTTCCACTTACAAATAAGCATAAGCTAGATCGAGCTTTGCGAAGAACTTTCCGCCATTCAGCATAATAAACAGATCTGCGGGGACGGGCAGAGGATAATGATGCTGTTCCAGAGCTGCATTGAGACCTGTAGAGAAGTCAGCACATATACGTATCGTGCCGTTGGCCTTCTTGATCACGACTATAGGTGCTGCCCAAGCAGAGTAAGAAACGAGAGTAATAACTCCTTGTCATTGAAGACGATCCAACTGTTCATCTACTGTTGCTAATGTTGCGTAAGGTACGGGTCTGTTTGAACGGAAGGCAGGCTTAGCCCCAGGTTTCAACCGAAGTGGCAAAGCACCGACCTAATCCAGGTTGAGAAATGGTTGAAAACTCCGTCATCAGCTTCCTCGTATATGATTCAGGGTCATGTGGTTGTGGTACCAGTTGGTATATGGTATTTAATGGGACATCAGCCAATTTTAGCTGGTCGAACCAATCTAAACCAAGTAAATTCAGATCAGCTGGCGTTATATAACTTACCCCAGTAAATGACGAGTCTCGGAAGGCAACTTTACATCCCAATTGTCCTAAAAGACGAAGGTAATTACCACATGCTGTACGAGGCTTCTGTGTTGTGTGCTGCAGGCTCGGGCTACCCAATTTGGTCCAATTTTTGCGTCAGAGGATGGTGACATCTATTTGCAATCTACACAAATGCCCGTTGATATTAAGAGTACTAAATTTCCTCTCACCTGGGGATGAGCTTTGGCAGGAAGATATTAGGCTCAATGCATTGGTACCGGACCTAGGAACAGACTTCTTAGCACTTCTGGATCGGTTCGGCTTTTTATTTAGGCAAAAACCTTCTTTATGACCAATGGCCTCACACTTCCTGCATCTATATTGCCTAAATGGACAGTTCCGTACATAGTGCAATGGGCCGCAGTGCCAGCAAGCAGTCGGGGGATTCTTTTTTGACTTTTGGGCAGAGCTGGAGTGATATGAAATGGGTGTAGCATGGGCAGATTTATTCTGATTAGGTGGCTGCTGTACCAAATGTACTTCAGATCGGCTTGAACTACCACTCTGCACTATAGTTGAGTCTCCTTGTAGGCTAATGAGACGTTGGTACTCATTAGCCATGTCATTAAGCATGAGCTTCGGATCTTGCTCTAACCGACATAGTAGCCCTGTTCTAATGTCACTGAACTTATGAGACTGGAGGCTGCAGATGACTATAAGGGCTTTAAACTGATCTTCCAACAAAGACTTCAACCGAAAGCGTTCTCATTCACGGTTGACAATGCCCACGTGCGTAAGAAAATCATCATCTTCGTTCATAATTAGCTTCAAACATCGATAACGAGTATTAAACAGTGACGAGTTGTCGCCAAAGTGTTGGCTCAATGTCTGAACTGTCTCAGAAAATGAACGATCTCGTGGGTTCAAAGGCAGGATCAAATTGCAGTACTTGTCCAGCTCACTTGCACCCAACTTTTGAAGTAGCAGCCGAACCTTCCAAGCATCATCTTGATTGGCGAAACCAAATTTGAATAAATCTTCATAACGCCGGAACCATACATCAAAAGTAACATTGGCATCAGTATCATAATGAAATTCAGCTATGCTATTCGCGATGCCGTCGACCGATAGAGATATGGTTGCATTGGATGAGCTGGGCTGTGTGGAAGGGGACATCTTCATGTCTGTCAACATCTGCATCAGTTTCAGCTGCTGCTCAAGTAATAATTCAAGTTTGGCAGGATACATGTATCCAAAAATACCGTCGCCACTTGTTATGTTTGTCACTAGGTACGCTTGATGCTATCACAAGTTCACCTTAGTCGATAAACGCGAACGAGAAAATTACCAGCGTCCAGGTAGGCTACCTCGAATCCCAAGCTGTAAAACAGAAGTCTTGGTAAGCGTATAAAGTATATTCTACAACACCCACCAATCACAACACAATCAGGCACACAACTCTCGTTTATTTCTACATCATAGAAACATCATTGGGACGAAAATAGCACACTAAAATACACAGCAGCCAATCACAGCCATGGATTTTCCTTGTGGGAAATGAAATCTCAATGTCAACTGACCACCCCGTGCTCGCAAACTTGAAATCCAAAATAAGGCATTTATGAAGCGAGTTCTAGGGATCTAACATTCCCAATATCATCAATGTTTATTAACACTGAGTCTCCCTATTTTGGATTCCTTCTCGTTGACTTTATGGTGCTTCACCTTATACCGCTTCTAGGATCAACGATTAATGCTACATATCACAAAGTACTCCTACAGGTTAGGTTTCCTGGACACTCCTGAAAGGCGATTCGTCCGCCCGGGCATTCTGATCTTTCCTCAGCGTTTGTTTACTCATCTTGTTCGTTTCACATATGGTAATGTTTCCTTCGGTACGATCTTCCTCATTAATTGCACCTATTCTCAAAGTTCGTGAGTCAACTAGTGCAGCAGGTATTTGTAACGAAGTGAGAGTATTAATCAGCAGTCTGCGTTTATACACTAAACGCACTACCATCCTTGACCTGCAGGGAGATTCTTTTTTTTCTTCAGCACTTTTGCTGAGTATATCATTTAAATGGAAATGAAAAGGTCCAAGATTATTCTACTTCTATATATTAGCATCGGAAATATGAGCTCGGAAGTGCTGTCGAATGACTGGTATTTCTGTTTCACCAGCAACTAGGTCGACTTCCGCTAAAGTTAACGTTTCTTTCCGTTTATAATCAACTACTTCCTTAGCAGGATCCTCTAGATTTTTCCAATCCTTACAGTCTGTCTGAGAATCTGTAACTACTTTAGCCAATGTAGTAAAAAGACATGAAGCAGAATCATGACCTGTAGATGATGATGTCCATAAGTTAACCGAGTCATCTTTCACCACATCAACATTCACATCGCGTGACGAAATATTTGATCCGAAAACATGATCAGACGGATTTTTTTTCTTAGCCGACAGATAATTAAGTATGCGGGTTCCCCGCAAGGGTAGAACGTCGTCCAAGCCAATATGGTCCTCACAGCAAACGGTTAATTCGTCTTTCCGGTTCTTATCTCTTTCGTCTCGTGTACACCTGGTGCGTTACACCCAATCAGCAGTTTGACACTCTCGTCTTCTACTCTCGGAAAACTGATGTCCTTCAAGTAGGACCAGGATGCAATTTGATGCGCCGTTGGCAAAGTCCTGTGGATCGCTGGTAGCCTGTAGACTTTCAACACTTTCTGGACCTTAACAGATGATGAAAAGTGCAGTTCTACATCGACTCCTTTGGATATCAACGACGACTCGTTACTATGAGTCTTTAAAGATCTCATTTTTGGTTTTCCTTCGAGGCCTAACTTATCAGCTAGATATTCAACTATGAGGGAGGTGTCTGATCCGCTATCTAGAAAGGCGCAAGTCTGAATAATTCTCTCACCATTTTTTATCCATACAGGAACTACTGCGAATGCCACTTGCCTATGTATGCACTTGACCCCTTCTTCTGTACAAATCTGAGTATTAATATAAGCATCACTGATGGTATCTCTCTGTTCTTCCCGCTTCTCATGTAACAAGGTATGGTGTCTACAGGCACACTCTTCAACAGCACATGACCTCGGTGATGGAAAATTTTTTGCTACATCGTTTGCCTTCAGACAAACGCTACATAACTTATGTTTAAGGACGAATTCTTTTCTTTCTCCAACATTTTTGTCTTCAAACTTCTGGAATTGATCGAGGGAATGACTTCTTGGGCACTCCAAGCAGGGTAAACTACGTAAAGAGCCATTGCCATCATTAGTGCTCTCATATGCTATCCCTTTCAAAGCACCGAAATCCCTCTTGTCACTATTATTGCCTCGGCTGACAAGTAGGCCGTATCTAGTATTACCTTTATCTGACTGTTCCTTTACACATTCATAGAGGTCCTGAAACAAAGGCTCTCTACCCTTCTTGAAAATCTGACATGCTACTTTAACCCATTCCCTCCGTAGGTATAGCGGGAGTTTTAAAAACATGCATTCAATGGTTTTTGTAGAATTAAGACCAGACAGATAGTTCGTTTGCCTGAGCGTTAGCGCACGAATATGCATCTCACGAGTTAGACTTCTTAAATTATCTAAATCAGTCCCTTGATAGCAGGGATGTTTAGCATCTATTCGGTAAATGCATGAGCTACCATGTGTCTCTGAACGAATGTTTCCTCAAGAAGCTCTAACGCTTTACTATAGCCTTCTTCTGGTTCAAGAAATGCACAATGAACAATAATAGAAATGGATTCACCATCACAATACTGAATCAAATAGTTTAACTTAGATTGAAATCCAACGCTTTCATTAAAACAGTCTTCGAAATTCCGCATGAAACTAAATAGTTCATGGGATTACCATCAAACCTTCTGATTTCTCTCTTGGATAGGTCTAAAGCTTTAGGTATCATTCTTATCCAGTCCTTTCCAGTATTAATATCAGTTGCACGTGAAGCAGATCTAGATTCGTACGATATAACTTTATCATCCTCAACTTGGTTAAAATATTCTCTTCCTCTTTGACGTAACCGTTCTAACTCAATTTCTCTTTGTGTATGAGCCCAAAGAACTTGAGCTAATTCTAACTCTAACAAGGTTTCGATTCAGTAGCTATTTCTTCCAAACTGGTCTATAATACGAGTTTCGGAGTATTGGGGAGACAATCCAGGAATCTGATCAGGTTTGATTCACCGTAGACATTTAAAGGTACTCAATGTATGACTTCGGATGAGAAATTGGTCGAAAATTTGTAGGATTTAATTTGTCCTGCAGATGTACTTCTAGAACTGTAAACGCAATATTGGCGAACACAGAGTATATGGGAAAGCAATTGTCAGAACAAGACCAATTTTCACTTTAAACATTATCTGTTTCTAAATGTAAAAACAATTAGATTAGTACAATAATTAAGGAAATTACAGTTATCAAGTAAAACGAGCAAACGTACTGACCAATATAGCATGTCTTATGGAAATGAATAAAGTTATGAGTTATATCAATATAATAAGATAATAATGTCCTTCAATTACTAGGTCATTTACAACAAAGAAAGTTTACAGGCACGTCAGATAAGATCACGTGGTGGGCATTTAAACAAAAATTTGATTGGTTAGTTATGACGTAACTAAAATTAATTATGGGAATAACTAACATTCCCTCGAAGCGGTCACCACGTCTAGGCCGCGTTACCATCGCGCTCGAATAATCGACCTCTTCCAGTAGGCATAGGTTCCGTATATCTCGGTTGATCTCTTCAGTGTCTGTCTTAATCGAATCGTTCTGACTCGGCTATCTGTACCACAATCGACCTGTCTAACTATAGATTTCGCTCACAGATTTCTCGGCAAGCCATTTGTTATGTTTGTCACTAGGTACGCTTGAAGCTATCACAAGTTCACCTTAGTCGATAAACGCGAACGAGAAAATTACCAGCGTCCAGGTAGGCTACCTCGAATCCCAAGCTGTAAAACAGAAGTCTTGGTAAGCGTATAAAGTATATTCTACAACACCCACCAATCACAACACAATCAGGCACACAACTCTCGTTTATTTCTACATCATAGAAACATCATTGGGACGAAAATAGCACACTAAAATACACAGCAGCCAATCACAGCCATGGATTTTCCTTGTGGGAAATGAAATCTCAATGTCAACTGACCACCCCGTGCTCGCAAACTTGAAATCCAAAATAAGGCATTTATGAAGCGAGTTCTAGGGATCTAACATCCCCAACACTCCTCCCCTTTTAATAGCGTGTGCTTCTGGGGTCGACTTGCATCTTGACTGTCGTTCGCCGATGTGAGAGGAGACCACTTAAAGGCAAAATTTTTTCACGTCAGGTTAATCAACGTGGCACAGATCAACCATCTCAAAATTCGTCGGTGTCAAAGAAAAGTGGTTCGTCATCAGTACAAACAAGTGGGTTTTTATCCGGATTAAGTTGTTGAGTATGTAATGTAATGTGTTTTCTTTGCCTTTTAATCATGCGGCTACTTATCGTTTTATAGTAATAACATTGATATTCAAATACAAGTAAAATAGATTTTTGATCAAGTCTGTAATTATTTACACAAATATAACTACACAGAATTCCCTTCGTCATCTAAAGCTGCCCCCAGTCATGGGTTATGAGACATATCTTGTTGGTAGTGGCAGGTAAATGTGTAATGACATACTTAATGGGGGCTACTTCATTTACTGGTAATGACCACAGTGTTTATGTCACTTGTTTCATCATGTAATTTTACTTCCTGATAATTTAGTTGGACCCAAACCATGCTCGTTTAAACATGCGTTTGGTTTTTTCATTGTTTGGTGAAATAAGTCCATCAGCAGCTTGTAACATATTTTGCTATAATTTTGAGGGCTTTGGTGTCGAAAAAAGTACATTGTTGTTATACGATTAGTTTACCTATCACCAGTAATTGTCAGCACAATGACGATACCTAATCACTGAAATAACCTGCGTACATATTAAGTAGCCAAAAACTAAAGTCTAGAGTTCCCTGTTGCAACCAGCTGATTTTCTGTCTTAAAAGTTTATGCATCTCGTCTTCAAAATAATCGTAAAGCAAACTTGTGTGTATTGGCAATTAAGGGCTGGTCCAACTTTCTTGGTTGGTAGGACCAGTTAAGCGTACCATACTACAACGGTGTAGAGGCATCTCAAATTATCATTCTTGACCATGAAATAAAACATATCCTTTTGATATGTCTAACAAAAGTGTGTGGTTCGTAAACGTTGTATCTGTTGTATTGGATGTATTTGAGAAATTTCCTAATACCTGTGAATTAGCTTTAAGAAAACCTTGGAAATGATATCTAAAAGAAAACCTGTCATGTAACATGCCCTCCTGAATGGTGGTGGTGTTAACTCCGGATGACTGATATCCTCGTATATTCTGTCGCCCATGTGTTAAAAAGTTCTTCGGTGAAACTCCCTAAGAAAGGTTGTTATCGTTCATTAGTTCGTCGTCTCACAATTAATACTAGATAGCGTAGATCATCAATTATGTTTAAGACACGTGGATGACAATATTTACTACCAAAATTTTCATGAATTTTATTCATTGGAGTATATCCAACTTCGTGGATTGTTTTACCCATCAAATATGTATGTGGTACTCTAGTGGTAATTAAACTACTAGACTCATCGATCGTCATGATAATTATAGTTATAAGTTTCTTACTAGCGTTTCCTTTCTACGTTCTATTGAATCCCTAATTGTTTGGGACATTCCCAATAAAGTTATTTCTAATAATTGTGTTATTATCTCAAGATGAACCAGTATAAGCACCCATAACAGCACGAGAGACCAAATTGGTCGAAATCAAATCCTTCAGTCAGTTATTTGCAACGTAGAACACTGTATGTACGTACATCCCATAGTAAAAGTGGCAGAAGTATTAGTTGTAATGGAGAAGACAAGGGATCGAAGATATCTTTCAAGTAGTATAATCCATAAGTTTCAGAAGAGAAGAAAAGTCATGAGGAATTTAGAAGGTTAGAATTTGCGGGAAAACAAAGAAAGGATGCATCTGTGTCGTTGCGAATGGTTATGAACCATGTCATTGAAAGTCTCTAACTACTGGTCACGATTATCACGCAGATCTCAACCAGGTAGTCTGCACCTATTACCATGGCTCAGTCCTGTGTGCTTTTTGATTTGGCCGCTTCTAGCTTTTATGAACCTACTCCTAGTTGGTGGTTGGGCATACGTAAGACTTCCGAGCCGTATCAGTTGATGAAGATGTACCACCTTGTCAATCCATTTGCTATCCATACCTGGTACATTTTTCCTAACACCAGCATTGCTAGCTCGGTGGTCTCAAAATACACGAGCGGTGCTTCTAAGGCACCGATAATTGAATAGTTCTATTCCTAATGTCTTTGTTTCTCACCCATAAAGTAGAGCGGAGCAGACGGATGTCCTGCTCATGCCACAAGTGACGCAAGTTGGCAAAAGCCAGTCGAGCAGAAGCAGGGCGTAACAGCTATATCTTCATGCCCTTTTCCTCCTTTCGATCCTTTCCTGTCCAGTTTATCTGACTTTACGGATGTCACATAAAAATGACTTCTATTTCATTTTTGTCTGTAGTTTCTTCGTACACTCACCGGACGGGCATTGGTCTCAGTTTTACACATTTAAATTCTTTTTGGATTGCTTATGTGTGTGATTTACTGCTTTAGAAGAAAGACGCTGAATGGCTTGCTTGAGGATTTCGTTTAAACTGTTCGATCATCTTTTATGTTCTATACATTCGTCCAGTGTGAATTGTGGGCTTCTGTATCAGTTTTTTTTATTCAATTGAATATAGTGTCTCATGTCTGTTAACTTGTTTATTGCTAGCAGTTAGACGGCTACACTTTTCATCTCAACATTTGTGGATGAGTTTACTTTTCCAACTGCATGTGTTTTGAATTCTTCAGATTCAGTTATTTTGATCTCATCTTGGTTGTTGGTCCGGTCTGGTGGGAGCTTCTCATTCAGGTGTTTTGCGTTTATATTAAGCTGCCTGAGCAAATAATTATACTATGGTCTGGGTCTTGTATGCAGCTTGAAAAAGACCTCACCATCAGGTTATTTACCTACATGTCCGCTTTGTGTCATAGGTTGAACCCATTTCGCAGCACCTTGGTCGATTTGTTAGGTAGCTACATAATTTTGTGAAGTTGATCAACAGTACCTTTATGTTTGTCTTAGTTTAAATAATAATTTTCATTTCTTTTGTTTATGATCATTGCCTTGGTTTTTATTATGCGATATTTGCATGTTCAATTTGTTTAGGTATAGTTGTAGCAAATGTAGAGCTTCACTTGCATCTGTCAGTGGGTGTGATTAAACAAAGTTCATCTGCATATTGTACATGTACTAATTTCCACATTTCATTATCCTTACCTGTGAGTTCTAGTCCATTTATTGTTTGATCTATTGTAGATTTATTGGAAGGCAAGATTAAATGTAGACCCTCTTTACTGCCTTGTCTTACTCTTCTGCTCATGGTAATGTAGGAGTTTATTCTTTCCTGGTATCCTTTCGGTTTTCGTATTAGTTTTATGAGTTTCTGATTTACATCGAATGATGGGAATGCCTTCTGCATCGTGTCTGCTTAATTGCTGTGATAGTATATCGAATACTTACGTGAGATCTATGTATGTTAGTACTAATTTTTTTTTTCTATCCGGTGCATATTGAATCACATGTCCTACTATGGTGGCGGATCGTCAGCAATTGTATTTAGTCGTCCGCACACCATCCCAGCATATTTCCTTCCAAATGCGTCACGCAGGAATATACTTCGGTAGTTACCTGGGTTGTTACGGAATCCTTTCTTGTAAATGTTGATAACATAGATACTTTCCAACTATCTGGAATGGTGTTAGGATCTCTCAGTCAGTCTTTAGTTCTGGCGCTTGATCAAGCTATGCTATTGCGTCAGGGTTCCTGCGATTTCTCATCCTTTAGATGGGTCTTTCTAGTTCCTTCATTGCTGGAAGAACCTCTGTTGTTTGATTCTTTTGGGTCGTGTTGTTTGGTATTATAGGAATTTGTGTCAAGTAGTGACTAGTAGTTCTGGAGTAGATTGCAATCACTTATCATTGCTGCCTTAGGGTTATTATAGAATTGGCTTTATATGATGACCAGAATCTCTTAGAAATTTGTATACCACATTTTAATCATTTTATTCAAATAGAATATTGAGTTCTTCCATTTTACTCGGAATTTATTCTTTCATCTTCTAACTTTTCTGTTGGTTTGTATACATTTTTGTCTATTTTCTTCTACTGGCTTGTTTCCTCACTGTAATATTTGCACTTTTCTTTGTTTTTATTTCATCTTTTTGTTCGATGCTTATGTACTATCAGCGTTCGGTAATTGATTTCCTTGAGGGGGTTGTTCCGTATACCGCTTGTAATACAGCTTCCTCTGTCCTGAATGACACTATTTTCATTGATTAATGTTTCCAGTTTGGTTGTATAAGTTTCTGCTGACGGGTATATTGGTTTTTTTGGTCATGTTTCTCTTCATCTTATGCCTGTATTTGTGTTGGCATTTGCATTTGGCAACCCCAACTTGAGTATTGATGTGACTATGTAGTGATCTGAGTTCTCTTCGAGGTATCTTCTGGTATGTATATTACATATTAGGATGTACGACTTGTGTTCATTTGGTGTCAAGTTTATCATATGGTTGTGAAGGTACCTGAGTAGGCCCAGGTGTTTCTTTTGGATCATGGTTCGTCTATAAGTGTGTTCATTACTTCGACGTCGCAGAGATTGATTAGGCATATCTTCTTGGTTAAGATGAGGTTTCATCTTCATTGATGTGCCTTCTTATGATATTCGGATAGCTGTTTATGTGATGAGAACCAAGGAGGCATTTGAAGTCACCCAGAATAAGCATAGGACTACCTGGTTTTTGAGGTCGTTTGTTGTATGTTGAACTTTCAAAATAGAGTAGTTCCTTTCTATTATCGTCTGCGAAAGACTCATTTGTGAAATAGCATCCTATTAGACTTATAGTTTGCCTTGTCGATTCGCTGAGTATTGGCATTATAGCTACACGTCCATCGCTTTCTTCTAAATTTGTTGCTATTATCTCTTCTTGGTTGTTTATGTATAATCCAACAGCTGTGTCCCGGTAGTCGTTAGTGTCTAGATTGCTGTTATAGAAGGTAGTATGTTTAGCCAAGTTGGTTTGTTTACATGATGGTGCATTATGGTGGTGTTCACTTAAGTGGCTAACAATTTGGTGGAGCTTACTTTCTTGTACACATTCTCAGATAGTTCATACGTCAACTTTTTAGATTTTTCTTTCCTTTGTCGCTTCGTCGAACGGGAACTTTTGTAAGAAGTAGATAGTGTGGGTGAATTCTCCCTTGACGTTTATCCATCCCCACCAATGATAATTGTGCAG